TATAAAGACAGCTCCAGTCTGGTGTTGGTCTGTTCTGCTCCTTGACTCCTGGTTGTTTTTATTCATAAATCGTTGCTTTATAATCGCACTAAAAAAAAAAAAATCACGTGGTACATTTATACCCCTCATCTTTGACCTTTACGCGCTGCCGTGACGTCACGCCGCTCATTTACGCTCCTCTTGTTCGTGATGTGTGATGTGTGTTTTTATTATTATTAACATCAGTGACCAAGTGTGTGTGTGTGTGTGTGTGTGTTGGCTGTGGTGGTGTTTTGTAGGAGGGGGGTTTCAAATCCATCTCCATACTCCCCCACGTGGATATTTGCAAAACAACCATCAGACTCAGGTGGATGTGATCAAACAGCGGTTCAAACACACACAGACGGCGGTCGGTGGTCGGTGGTCGGTGACGGTCGGTGTTGATGAGAGGCTGCAGTTTAAAGACTGACGGCAACATTTAATAAATACAACTTATGGGGGTTTTTTTTGTTTGTTTGTTTGTTTGTTTTAAATTCTGTAACATATGTAAAAAAAAAAAATATCCGAGCTCTGTTCATGTCCTGTGTGAAAAATGCGCTGCGCCCCTGCGCCTATTGAACGCGTCCCCACGGGCTCGGATCGGAGAGGAGCCAATACAAGCCGAGGGGAGGCGTGTCCTCGCTCTTCCCCAAGACCTCCCAGAGCAGGTTGTTGCGCTTCAGCTCTAAAGCCTGAAGACCTCCGAAGTGCTCGACAGTTTGAAGTCGGAGCCATGGCGACAACAGCTCAGTATATTCCGAGGAATAACTCCTTACCGTCCAACCCGCTCATGCATCCGGACTCGGACCGGATGCACCAGGGGACGACCTACAGAGAGGTGCAGAAAATGATGCACCACGAGTACTTGCAGGGGCTCGCGGCCACCAACACGGGACACCCGATGAGCCTGACGCACCACCAGTGGCTGCCCACGTCCAACACCGACTGGTCCAGCGGCACCCACATCGGGCAGCAGGAGCACAAGCCCAGCGTGCAGGCGAGCCGCGAGGACCTGAGCAGCGGCTTCCACCACAGGTCTCACCTGGTGCACCAGCAGACGCAGAGCGCGCACCACGGCTCCGGGGGTCCCCCCCCCGCGCCCCCCCC